TTTAGTAATCATTGTGAGGATTTGATTATGTATTATTCTCATTTCTATGCAACAAGTGCCCCATTACACAATACATTTTCCCTTTAAACGCAATTCCAATTTCAAAGACTTCGTTTTATAAAGTTTCTTATACTGGTTCTCTTCAATTTGATCTAGCGCTTTCTGAGCTTTCCTTATCATCAACAACCTTAAACTCAATGACAATGGCCATATCAATTACGGCATCTGATTTATGAACTATCCTTATAACAAATCTTCCTTTACCGGCCTCATGTACGTTATAGCCTCGATCACGAGCAACAACGAACATTCCCATGCAAAAGGCATGATAAACGTATTCTGCTTGTTTTTTCCGGATTTAGACCTTTGTAACATTGATACGACCGTTGTCCAGAATTGAAAAATGGCAAATTTAACACCCAGTCAATACGAACCTCAAAATTTGGTATAATACGATGTTTCTCCGTATTTATAATGAGATATCAGTTCTAAACTTCATCCTAGTCCAATAAGCATTTTGAAAACGTGGATTATATACATAGCCGTTATACCATTTTCGGACATCCTCACCATTCAAGTCTTCACGCACTGATAAAGATTTTATGATTTCATAAGTCAAAGAGAAAATCATGTTTACTATAGATTTAGTTACCAATGCTCATCATGCCATTCCACGTTTCAGAACTTAAATCCTTTTTCATGATAAATTAATTGCCTATGGTAAAATTCATAAATCGTAACAGATGAATTTAATATCAATACGAAACCATATGAATAACAGGATAATTAGCAAAATATACTCAAAGCTACCTTTTCCGACAACAAAAGATGCATCAACCATATATTGTCTATATAAAAAATTTAGGATTAAGCTTGAAATCACCAGTACAAAAAAAACCATTGATATTGATATTTAATTTACCTTTATTATTTATAAACTTAATTTTACATATGTAATTTTGCTATGTATAAATATGGAATTTTACTAGATCAATAAATGCTGTAATTTACGCGATCACGGGTTCGAATTACGAGTAAGATAGTTAAACCAATCAAAAAAGTTTATTTAATTGACATCACATGCTCGACTCAATTTGTATAAATTTAACGCGCTCAAAAAATTTAACCTACACGCGCTCAAAGTTTACTTTACCTTACTTTAGGAGAGTCGAAGAGGAACCGAAATGGAGACATCCCCATCACTACTTACGAGTCACTAGTTACGGGGTGGTGGTGGTTCTTGAAGAAAAAGTTAATTGGTTAACTGACAATTTTTCTTTGTCAATCAATTTGGTGCGTTTACGTGTAAAACTCCTAAATATATTTACCGTTTTTCTCTTAAAGATATATTCACTAACCTCTTTATTAAATATTTGATTATTGGCAGTACTATGGAAACTAAAAATCGTGATTTCATTGTTCCTCACCCTTCTCCTCACGCTTGTGCTGCCACTATTGGGAAATCAGACAAAGACCTTCCTACCCCAAAAATTATCAAGGACCTCAATAATTCGTTCGCGCGCGAAAGCAAAACCAAACTTCATAATCCGAACTTAAAAGTACGTGTTAAAGAAACCTTATAAGGCCTTATGGAGATGTATCAATAGCACTTTGTTGAATATCGTTCAACGTTACGGGACGTCTTGTGTTCCCCTTCAGGGGCCTAATAGCAAGCGTTGTGTTAAACTACATTTCCAACTTGATTTATTAGTACATTTCTTGACGTACCGTACTATACTTACTTTTTTTTCTTTTTTAGGATGAATTAATATCATCTGAAGAAATTCAGAACGAACAGCAAACTGATAATTTAGATAAGGTATATCTTAAGAACTGATATATTTATATGTATTTTCCCGTATGATTTTTTTTACAATTGTTTCTTTAGATAAAGATCCATGGAATTCTCAAAAAAGAAATTCTGGTTGAAAGTAACGTTAAAAGCATCATTGATAAGGATAACAGTAATGATGATGATGTATTAACAGAAGGAATAATGGACCTTACTCACAAAAGTCATTTCGTTCGGCAACTTCCCGAAGATGTTTATAAAAGTTTTCTTGAATCATTAAATCAATATGATCAATTAATCCCGGCAAGTTTCTGGTTGATTTTTTTTCACAAGTAAGGATAAATAGTATTACAAGCGGTTTCAATTGCAATCATCTCCTAATATGCTTATGCGTGTTTTTTTTTTTTTGATATAAGAAATTAACTTATAAGCAGTGATCAAATGAAATCAAACGCTACACTTAACACTTCGCGTAATAAGAACATAAAATGAGTTGAAGATATTATACCAAAACGCATGTACTGAAGACACTGATGCCAAAACGTATGATGTTACTGTGCTAAATACCGGATTTACAAGCTCTTATACAAATTTTTACATCACCTTCCTAAGGTAAATTTTTTCTTTCTATCTATCATTATAATAACTCTTTAAATACGTGAAATAGGAAAATGTCGGGTCGTTTATTAATAATCGGATCAAACTACAAGTATACTTAATCAAGTTATGACATTGCAAGAAAGAAATTAAGACTTGAAAGTTTCCTTATGAAAAAAGAATATGATCAAATTTATGATAAAATTAAAAAACCAATTGATGTATTTAAAGGATTTAGTATTTTTATATGGTCAACCTTGTACTGAAAAAGATTTTAAACGGGTAAGTTTATTTTTTGTTTTTCTTTTGGAAATTTGTTAAATCAGTTGAATTGATTTGTTTAATCAAATAGGAATTGATTCTTTGAATTTGTTGAAATTAATGGAACGGAAGTTAAAAAGTATATAGTCTTATGGGAGGGTTTAATTGGTGATCGAATTTTTTAACAAGACGCAGAATCTTTATTGTATGAAACAATTTATGAAAAAGATAAACGAGTTTTAATGTTAGTAAATTTTTTTTTTTTTAATGGTATATTGTTAACATTATTTATTAACGCGACATTATTCTATCGATTAATTCTTTATTCTTTTTTTTTTTTTTTTGTAATGAATTTCACTTATCACCAAAAAAAATATCGTATTTTGGAATGAACAGCTTTACCAAATTATGCATTCGTTTTGATAATGTTGAACCGTATAACTTTTTATTATTTTGAAATTTCGACTTGAAAATATTGATCTATTTGCAGCTGTCGAATTTACTGCAAGAAAAGTGAGCGTTATTTCACAAAATGCAAGAGATGCTCTGTTTATTGCAGGTAATTACTTTAAACTATTCGGAATAATAAAATACAATACGAGTATTAAGAATTAATATTCCACCCTTTTTGTTTTTTATTATTTTTATTATTATTATAGATACGCAGTAAGAGTTCTCGAGACACAAGTCATAAATAAATTAGTATCGAAAAATAGTTGTAATATGGTTCTAAAGACTATAAGAAAAACTAATACGCTTTGGAAGAAATATATTAGTAGAAGTTTTCTACAAGTTAAAGTATTTCTTGATGCCTGATTATTATTGAAGAAAATTGGAAAACGAGTTAAAGGATGCAAGTAATGTATTCAAGATATCATTGAATAACAAGATTGTGATATATCAAGCCTTATTGTATTAATGAATATTGCGATCTCTTATCAGATGCTAGTAAAGATTTCAATTCAGATGAAATCGAAAGTGATGTTAGTTTAGTGCTATCTAATGATTTATTTTTTAAATACTGTGATTCAATTTTTTTAGTTATTAAAATCGTTTATCATGTGATACTCGATAATATATGTTAAGAGGAATAAAATAGATCATACATTTTTTAACTTTTATACATATTTTTAATGTTTATAAATATTAGTATTACAGTATAGTATATAAATTTTAATCTATTTTAATGAATTAGAATATTATATAATTGGCATTATTTAAGATACTTTACAATGATAGGAGGAGTCAGTGTGTAAAATCTGAAATAAAAATCATGTGCAATTTGTGCACATGATGCGCAGTAAAAGAGTGCGCATCAAATTT